AAATAATTTAATGCCAAATAATTAAATAATGTGGTTGTTCACGCTTGCCTGGTTATCAGGCTATCTGGTTAATAATAATTTTTCTCTGGTGCATTTTATTGGTGTAAACTGAATAAAAGATATAACCGCTTAACCAGATAATCAACGAAGTGTGAACAACCACAATGATAATGCCATTTTTTTTTATATCCGCTTTTTCTAGAATCGGAGACATATGTATGTATATTGAAATTAGATTTTAAATAAAACCACCAAATACCTTTTGCTTTGCTACTTTAGAAATGCATTTCACTGATTACTGGAGAATGAATTGTACAATCTCGCAGCAATAGCTGGGATCCTTACCAGACTATAAGAGCAAGAGTGATCCTTTTTGTAGAGTTTGAAGCCTCTGGAATTGTGTATTGCTAAAATTTGTTATCCCTCCCATTATATTATTATACACTCTAAAAAATTTTTGTTTAAATTTGCGTATATTAACTTAGGTAACCAGCTTCCTCTCTTAATGAATGCAAATTAACACACCGTGTTAATTAAATTAAACACTGCTTGTTTACTTTTAATTATCATGTGTGGCGGAGAACAAATTTGAAATTTGTTTTTTGAGTTCTAAACATTTATTGTTCACAATTCCACAGTTTACACATAAACTGTTTAAAATTTCCTCTCAAAATTTTTTGTTTAAATTTACGTATATAAAAAGAGGTAACCAGTTTCTTCTGCTAGTGTGTGCAAAATTAAACACTGTCTGTTTACTTTTACATACCAAATTTGCCACGTAGAGAAAATTTACACCCAAAGTGCTTAAAATTTAGTAATCTTAATATTTATTATTTGTAAAAAAATATATTTTTACTTTGAAAATGTTTGTAATGTTAGAAATTTCATGTGTATATTTACGTGTATATTTTAAACAACTCATTTTCAAAATCAAATCTTGAACATGTTTTGCGTATATTTCCGCAGCTTCTAGTTGAAAAATAATCACTTTTCAGTAGTAGTTTTACATGCACTTTTTAGAGTCTATTTTCGACTGTTTTAAATATTAGGCAACTCGAGGAAGGGTTTTGGTAAGTCCGCTTAAGAGTTCACTCGATGACCAAAAAGAAAAGAACACACCCCTAAAACCGTTTCGAATTTGGCGAGTCCAAACAATTGATTCATTGAAACTGTACAAATGAATACTGGGGCATGGGGCAAAGATCAGCTAATTCTTGAGATTTTGTTTTTCGGGAATCTAAAAATTGCGTCCATATGGGTAATAGGTCTGCACCATATTCCTACTTCCATGAGAGAGAGGATTTTCAAGCTCACCTTGATTGTTTGGGAATAAAAAGAACACCAATAAGAATTTTAATAATTGGTTTTCAAAGTTACAGGAGCCATTTACTTAATAAAAAGTCGGTAAAAGTATAATCCTTATCATAACTATACGACACTGACATATCAAGTTTTGACTATTTATTGCAATATTATTTTATTTTAATTATTTTTTTATAAAAATGTGGCTCATTCTACAGAAAAGGATATATGAGTCTAGGTTAAAAAGAAAACAAGAAACTTCCATCAAAATTTTACACTGTTTATTATATATATATATTTTTTTTCGTTACGCATTTTATAGATCATTCTATTAACATAGGTTGCATAATAAAAGGCAAGTTTGAAGTACGAGTATCTACAAAATACCGTTGATTTTTGGCACTTTATTCACGATCAAATGATCGGAACTAAAGCAAATTATTTTGGGATTACCCTTGTGGCCCCCCAATTTTCCGACGAGAAAAGAATAATCGAAAACGGTTTGCGTGGTTGGTTCAAAGTTATCGGGTAACGTACAAAAAAACATATCCCGATGATAACCTTCCCCCTTTTTTGAAGTCGGTTAATTAAATAATAAAAAAAAATAGTGAAAACTTCATAAATAAAATATTCTTCGTAAATAAAACATTCATATCTGTTCTATGCTAGCTCGACTTTGCAAGTCACTATATTTTTTGTGCTTTTATTTACCAAATAATACAAATTGCCAATTAGCTGCGGTCGATGCTGCTTTAGTGCCACTGTAAAACAGACAACCTTAAAGCCTAATTAAGATGTTTGTGCCGAAGTTACTGAAAAATTAAATACAGATAAAAATATAAATAAATCTGATATGCTCTAAGATGCATAGTAATTGAACTTATACATAAATATTTACATTAAAATGTTAAAATCGTTGCTAGATATTGATCCAGAAAAGATATTTATTTACTGAAATAGCCCTATGAGCCAGTGGTGGTTAATTTAGGGTGGTCCTAAAATGCATGTGAAAAAGTAAAGTCGGATTTTTTTTTGCTCTCACCTCCTAGGATTGTTCTATACCGAAAAAATATGCCCTTTTTTTTTTTTGAAATCAAAAAAAAATTAGAGGTGGCTCAAAGCGCTAAACGTTTTTCATGTATTTTATATGGGTGTAGTAACTATATTTTGTAGGTACGCCAAAACCCCAAGAAAATGCAATGGGTGGAAAAATAAAAAATCTGTAGTGCTAAAAAATGGTTAAATAAACAATTGGGTATTGTTATTGGAAGTCACCTGAAGAGAACCAGAGTTTTTCGATCGAAAAATATTGATTTTTAAGAATTCCATACCATTTCAACGAAAGTTGTTTTTCCCCCATATAAAATACATGGAAAATTTGAGCGCTTTGAGCGACCTATAAATATATTTTGTTAAAAAAAAATTGGGGTATATTTTCTCGATATAGAACAATCCTAGGGGGTCTTTCGATCGGAAGTCTTTGCAATATTGAAGTGGCATTCTTCATTATTTATATTGCTTGAAAAAGTACTTTGCTGTAGCTGTAAATTTTCTTGAAGAAATAAATATGCGAGAGCGGCATACTGATTTAAGAAATTTCTATGGAGGCAAATTTCTTTTCCATATCTTTTGCGTCATTTCATATGAATTTTTCGTTTTTCTTGAGAGCTGCAGACAGCCCTTAAACCCGAAATCTAGCCGGAAAATGGCTAAAACGGCAACACTGATTACAACGCAGCATTGCAATTACAAATACGACAAAAAAATATATATACGAATGCATCATATATGTATGTACATATGGATGTAACATGGAAAACGAAATACACATATGTATGTATGTATACTTTTCTGTGAGCGAATTTTCACAAAATTTAACTCTGCTGACATGATTTGTTTGTTAATGTATAGTAAAAATTATGCATTGAAGTGTAACGACACAGTTTTCTTGCTTTAATTATCTCAACCTTGATATGTACGTAAACAAATGGAAAAATAGTGGTGAGATTGTGATTAGTGCATTATACCCAAATTCTATTCTATCCTAAAAAATTAGTTACATCAACCAAGCGCGAAGCAGTCAAATATTTTTCATAGTTAACATATTCCAATACGGTTATACTCATACATACATACATAAGCATTTGTTTTCACGCTTATCACAGCTGAGTTGATGTGTGTGTGGCAAAAGCTTGCTAAACTGCAGCCTTGTCATAAAATCACTGCAAAAAATTAAGTTATGTACGCACATTTAGTTCATGACTATGTAATCTAGTAAATTTTAGCATAACAAAATCGATGCAGCATAAATGAGATCAGAAAAAAAGCTAACAATCAGCACCGAGACTTGACGCTTTTAGTAGGTTCAAATAGTGTTTATGAAGTGTTTCTTTGGATGGGCATTCTTTACTAAGCATTATTTTAGGCACCAATAAAATGGAATAAAAAATACAAAGTCCCACTGGAACTATTTATAAAGCGACAAAGACTTTAGTTAAATACTTAAAATGGGCATTTTGAAAGACTTTGTTGTAAAAACATGCCATTAAACAAAGAGCATAAAAACTTAGTTTTAGTTATAAACTGAAATTCTTTTAAACTGTGTGTGTGCCGCGATTCGCTTATCTAGAGTTTTCTCCAGGATTGCAGTGCCAGGTCTGAAGCCATACTGATAAGGTATAATCAGTTGGTTCGTAAAGGGCTTCATATCGTCGACAGCACCTTGTAAGCAATATAATATTTATGTTGGCGCTTACACAGTATCTAAGTGTTTGGCCGAGCTTCTCCTCAAAATTTGCAGTGTGCCTCTTAATGTTGTTACACAAATGCAGTGAAATACAGTTTTACGACCCCTTCGAACAGCAAATGGATTTTATGAGACTCGTTTTTATAGAAGAAATAAACCGTTTTCTAAATTAGATTTTACTCAGACCAGGAATGGAACCCAAGCCCAACGAAGTGATGGTACGCATATTTAACCACTCAGCGAAAATGGCGGGATCTCCCTTACTGTCGATTGGACAAAGTACACTCAGCTTCCAGTCTTCGGACCAAATTCTGCTTAACAGCGGGTACTTGCGCCCCACCAACTCTTCGGGCACAGGCTTTGAATAGCCTTGTTATTCATAAGCCGTCTTATCGCTGTTTTCACGTCTGTTTTTTAAATTATGTTTGTGCAATTTTCCATAGCAACCGCAAAATTTTTTGCAATGCCGTTTTTATGCATCACTTTACGAGTCACTGTGTCACGCCGACTAACTCTTTGTTTCACAGATTGCAGAAGTAGCAGCAGAAGCAGCAGCAGGAATTCCCAACAATAACCATGCCTAGTTACAACAACACCATAGTCGCACAAGTCACAAAGAAACCAACCAATTTACTCGTACAATGGCGCTCAAGGCGTCGATACTGAAACAGTTGCGTGTTTTACATAATGAAATTAAGGCATTCAAAGAGCAAAGCAACGCCAACTGCAACAACGATACAAGTTTCATCGAAAAAAAAGAAAAAAACTGCATTTCATTTGCAACCAACACAGTTGGATAAAAAACGAAAACTGCATCTGCACTTGAAGTGGTGGTAGTATACATAGGTGTTGCAGTCAGGCCATACGAGTTGCATTGGTCGTAGTTTTCCGCAAATACCCATACTCCTTGGCACAATTAGCAATACAACATCAGCTGCGAGTTGTTAGTTGCAGGCGAGTATCGAAGTTGGATTGTGGCCAAAATGTGAACGCGCATCGAAAACGAAAGTGAGAGTGAAAAAAGGTGAATTTTTCCAGTGTAAAAAGTGCAAGGCAGTTTGAAGCTCAAGCGGAAATTGATGGAAACAACCTTTTATACAATTAAAGTGTGCAGTGATTTTCAATAAAAGATTTATATGCTGAGTGCAAACAATACATACATAAATAAATAGTTCCTGGAAAATAAAGTGCTGCCTATTTTTCTGATTGTTGCAGCATAGCTGCGTATTACATAAAGCGCATTAGCCCACTGGCACACACACACACACACACGCGTACATACATTCAACACGTTGCAGCATAGCTTACACTGGTGGAGCACCCCATTTATTTACCGCTACGTGCGCACAGATCAAATCTACTGCGGCTGTGTGTGTGTTCGCCCAACTAACCGACTTATCGAGTACCCATTCGGATCTGCAGCAAAAAAAACACAACAACACAAAAAACCCGCTGCCAGCCATACAACTGGTTAAACGGCAATTAGCAAATCAACTCGCGATCGCACCCGCATCACTCATCCAGCCAGTCAGTGCGCTTCAATTGATTCAATTGCCGGCCTGACCACCGCTGTCAATATGAAGTGTCGTTGCATTGTCGATTTTATTGCCGTGGCCGTTGTCATTGCAGCGGCCAGTGGTCTAATTATTTTCGCCATAGCAATGCAGAACTCCAGCCGCCGCGTGGAGCGAAAGTTGGCGGCGCATGAAACCAATTTAACGAAAATTGCTGAACAATTGATGTTTATAGGCACAACAAAACCAACCGAAGCTAAGCTGATGGTAAATACCATTATTAATGAAGTAACAACCGAAGTAGGAAGTTTGGCAAATGTAATAGAAAATACAATAACAAATAATAAAAGTGCCGTTACAAATCATACTGACAATGTGTCATTGATAATAGAGCCCGTGGCCGCCGCGCAGGCCTATGAAGAACGTAGAATTCGTTTAACAACAAGTGCAACGATCCCAACAACAACAGTGACAGCGGTGGAAACTGAAATGCCGGCTTATATAACAACGTTTAATGCAGCAGTTATTCCAACAACAACAAGGATGGCAAGACTGAGAGCGAAACCAGTGGCGGCAGCCATCGTGGCAGCAGCACGCGCAGCCAGCGACTCATTTGAGGTAGCTAGATGTGCGCTTTATGCACACATATAAATGTACATTAGGGTGTCCGCTATTGTCCAAGTTGGGTTTTTGCTACCCCCCATGAATTTTTAGTTTTTGTTGATTTTTTACTCTAAAATGTCAAAAAGTTTGACATTGCAGAGTAAAATTAAAACTCATGGACCACTTGGAATGAAGAAAAAATAATCAGAATTGCAACCATGCTGCTGCTACCTACATATTCAATATTCAATGTGCCTTGGTTTTTGGCCTAAATAAATATTTATTTTTTTCTTGTTATTTATGGCCTTATGACAATTATAATTAACAATTTTATTAAGCTTGAGGCCGTTTCTAATGACAACCTTTCGGAGGAGTGAATTTATGGAAAAATTATTTGAGACTTTATTTTGTAGAGCGTTAAATTTTCTATAAAAATTTACACTTATTTGTTTCAGTGAAAGAAATTTACTACAAAAAGTCCAAAAATCACATTTTATTTAAACAGCTCCCTTCCTTTATTTTCTGACATTCGGCTGCCTTATAGTCAAATTTAAAAGGCAAATTTTCAAATATGGCAGTGTTAAAACCTTTCTTCTCGCTCTAATTACTTCACCTGGTATAATTCCTCTATGATTTAAATGTGAAATGTGACATGATTTCAGCAGTTTAATTTGAAATACATTTTTTTACTGCATTTTTTAGGGTTAAAAACTAAAAAAAAAACAGGGGCGGCAGCAAAAATAAAAAACCAACCTGGGAAATAACGGACACCCTAGTGTACATACATATATTCGCGTGAAAGTATTAGTACACAGTAAAGTACAGTAAAACTGTTAAGTGTTGGCTGAGTAATATCGTTCTGCGCTCGTGTTGCATCAAAGCAAATGTAGCAACAACTCTCTTGCATTAGTTTTTGCGAATGTTATTTTTGTTTCTTTTTTTCTGTTTTTTTTTTTAAGTGCTATGCATTAGGTTACAGCCTCTTAGCGCGCCCAATGGAGTTCAAAAAAGTTGAGTTGATTTGACTTTTTAATCACACTGAGCTTCATTGTATTGCGCTGTTGAGTTTTTGAAACATTTTTTCGCACAACGCGGAAATGTTAGTTCGTGTCATATGGCTTTTTTGTTTTGGTTTTTACTTTTCGTTTTTCATTGCTGAAACACGCTTACGCTTGTATATATTTAGCAATGCGAATTTCAGCATCACTAAGGCAGTAATGTACATCATTTTAGTTTATGTTTTATCTTATTACATGTTAGGTATTTTGTAGTGCAAAACTATGCATAATGCATCATAATTTGTTCTACACAATACTTGATGCTTTTTTTAATGTTTTTAGTGTAATTTTTAAAGATAATTTTGTCATTGTAGCTTTATGCTTTTAAGGCAAGAATAATAAAACTGTACAACACCAAAAACGAAAAAAGGGTCTCTTAACGGATTCTGGTGGAGGGGGCAAAAAAAATATATGTACATATATACATACACATGTATTACCAGGGCCGTCGAGAGAAAACTCGGCATTTTCACGACAGCCGGCTCTACGTACCGGAATGTCTCGGGTTCTACGCGACTAAGGGCTATAGTTTCGGCGATCCAACCCCACTCTGCTTAGGACTGGCATAGGGTCAAACCCAGGATCATAAATTTATACCTGCTGCGTATGCCAGAAACGATTGCATGCAAACTTCACCTCGGTGCAACGCCTGTGACGGGTGGAGTCATCTCTAGAGCATGCTCCGGACTCCGCTGCACGCGTGATTGGACGAGTGAAAACGTGGGCCCCTTCTATGCTGCCTAGTTCCAAACTCTGTTGAATTTCGACGGATACAATGTGCACCGTCGAGGCGTAGCGTTCATCACGCACCACACCGTGCAGTATCGTCTTATCGAAGTAGACATACTATCCTAGAATATCAGGGTATTGCTATCCGGTCAGGTGATGTCGATCTCAAAATATCGTAGGGAAACACACTTGGCTGAGCAGATAGACGATTCGACATTATACACAATGAACGACGACGCACCCACCAGGATTATGGACTGCTGCTGCAGCTTTCCAACCGCTGGGCGAAAGCTAGTACATACAAAAACATATACATAAGTACATAGATTGAATTTTTTTTATTGAAAGTGGCTGGAACTATAAGCCACTGCACAAATATTGGGTTTGGGTCTAGTTTGGTTGAGTCCTTTAACAAACCCCCAAAGGTGTTCCACAGTGTTGTTCAAAGTAGATTCATACACTTTACTCTTCCTTGTGGTTTTTTGCAATTGTACGATTATCTGTTAGTTTAAAATTAAAACAAGTAATTAAACTAATTTTTAAAGACAAGTCTTTGTTAGTGGTTAATAAAAAAGAAAAATAGGCATTTTTTGTGGTGGACTTATTTCTTTCCATTAAAGTGATATACATTTTAAATATGAAAAAAGTGGACGATAAATAGGGATTTTCCAAATATCTCGACTCTTGCGCCTCCTATCGGAAAAAATTCTCCTTTCATGTAGTACGTAGTATACTTTCCACGTATATCGAGGTTTTCCGATATCTCGACCTGCGCCATCTAGCGGATTAATTTCCTTTTCACGTTAGCTCGGGTTCTGAGCAAAGTTTGAAGCTTCAAGTCTCTAGCTCATTGGAAAGTTGGTTCAAATTTGAATGTAAGATTTGATTACACACTTGAACTGAAACTTAATAAGAGCTTGTAATAAAGATAATATACCAATACATAGTATGTACTTGGCCTTACAGCTTCGAAAATCACGGATACATATATCTCAATGCATTATTGTATACAACAGTTCATAAGCATGTTCTTTACTAGCACAGTTGTTAAGCTTTGAGCTACATGGTAGGGCTCAATGAACTAAAAGATATAAGATACAACTAATAATGAAAATGTTATGTGTACTTTCAGGTCAAAGATAAAATAAATTTATCAAATTCTATGCATAATGCAAATTGACGACACCAATGTGAAGTTCAAAGACATTTTATTGAAATCAGCCGAGTTAAATTGAACAGGTTTTCTTAAGCGTAGCAGACGTGGCCATCCCCCTATTTTAAAATATGCGGAAAAACTGTTAGACAAATTTGAATACTTAACAAACGCGGTTAGCAAAAAGACAATCAATGGAACACATTTGTAAATTCCAAAATGTGCCGATATGTATATGTATGTATGTGGATATATGATATTCGCACAAAGTTAAACCTGAAGATTTAAGTTTGGTAGAAACTTGTAAAATATACGAGTTGATAAATTTGGTGATGATAATCAAAAATGTGCATGTTGCGTGACATGCAAAGCGAGCTAAAAGTATGTAAGTTTGTGTTAAGGTTAATTTAACCAGCTTACTGTTATACTCGTTGGTATGAATGTAGAAAACATGTGTACACACATATACATATTATTTTGGTCGCTTATAAAAATTAGATGCTAAACATAAACCGACGCAAGCAAGTCAATGAAGCGAATGAAACCATGGCGGCATACGGTACACTGAGAAAAGAGTTTAGCTACTATTATGCTTCTCTAAATAAATGATTTTGTTAGAGTTACATTAATTGGTTATATGTAGTAGGTATGTATATGCGAGTAAAATAATAGCAAGGGTCATTCCATTGATAAGAGGAAAACGAGATAAATTTAAATATGTCCTCATTATCTCTATTTCAGTAGATACCTCTTCTTAAATGACTACATTTCATTAACCTGTGGGAAAATATTTAAAAAATCAAAAGAAATTGTAATTTTTGTCTATGGAAACTTTTATTTCATGCATAATTACTTTACACCAGTCACAAGGAGATTTCCGACCAGACACAACCTTAAATATTTTTTAATATTTCTATGAAGATTATATAAACCTATTTTTTATTGAAACCGAAAGCGTATAATTCATATTTTACACCGCATTTTCTTCCACATATAAATAAAATTGGTTCATGCGTTGTATGGAAGAAAATGCGCACACCCTCGACAAAAAAAAATCTAATAATTCAACGGTAATTTTTAGCGGCTTGAAATTTACGTTTCATTGTACTAAAATTGAATGGGCTACAAAACTGCATACCCAAAATCTTTCAAAGAAATCTAATATAAAAAATCGAAATTTTGATGAACATTTTTTTTTAAGTATAATTAATTTTTGTGAATTTTTGGTAAGGCTTGAAATTTCTATTTATGCCGTGTCTGATATATGTACATATATGTAGATCGACCCATATTTTAAATGAAAACTATTTGCAATAAATAAATAAACATAAGTTACCAGCAGCAACACTTTGAAATTTACTGCCATTATTTTACTCGCAGCTATATGTAGCTACCAAATATTGTAATGCGATAAATATGTTTAGCTGACTCTTTTCCCAGTGTAGCCACGGAGGTTAAACATGTAATAATGTGTTTTGTAAAACCTAGCCGTTGGTTGCTAAATGAACTCAGTAAAAC